GGGGGGGGGGGGGGGGGCGGTAATTTGCTTTTCCTGAACAAAGGGCTTCAAGATGTAAATGTATCACTCCTTACTCTTTAGGAAACATTTAATGAGAGCTGGAAATAGTTTGAAGATTGCTGAGTTCCTTGCAGTATCACTGGGAGCTAGATACTTTGAGTTATAATCCCAATTCACAAACCAATGGCCTTGTCACAACCTCTCTGGATCAGCCTACACATCTTTAACATGAGGGTTAACAGGGATAATTAGCTGATATTTGGAAAATGCGCTGAAGAGGAAAATGCTATAATAGTCACTTATTTCCGTCAGGTTCTAGAGGCAATGCCTAGTTAGTCTTCCTAATTTATGACTGCGGTTTATATTTTTTCCACAAGGTGACTTTTAAAAAAAATTAAAATGGAGTACTTTTTTCTTAATTTACAATTGAATTAACATAGCCTCCTGTAACGTATTAGTCTTCATTATTAATATATTCACTAATATGAGAGTTACCATATTTCTGAAGCTTCCCATATAAATCTGGAGTGAGATACACCAAAGCAGCAAATGTGGAGTTCACAGCTTGATCAACAGTGGAACCAGCAACTATATCTGTCTTTGGGGTCTGTTTTTTACATGCCTGTATAAGTCCTTTGAAAAGCTCAGAATTTTGCCCACAGAAATCCTGGGCAGGATCTGATTTTGCAAATTCGATGAGAAAGTACCGACAGTCGTCTGCATGGCAGTTCTTAGTCTGGAAAGAATGTCGAAACATATTTACTTAATATCAGTTTAAAAATCCTTGCACCTCTGTTTCATACACAAGAAATTCACACTTCAGGCAAACATTACAGTGAAAAGCTAGAAATAAAAGGCACAAAACAGGAGGTGGCAATCGCAGCACAGCAGTGTACGTTTAGGGATGCACCAGCTCATTAAGCCTGAATAAAAAACCCTCTCATGCAAGTTTTCATTTCTATGAAACAAAAGCAGTGGCCTAAATACCTCTTTTTTATTTTGGCGCAGCTGACTGTGTTCAGTCGTTCTCAAACTTGCCTCGGGACACATCTGATGCCTGAAGACAGGCTTCCATAATGGAGAATTAAGAACTGGGGTCACTTTTGAAGGAGGCAACTCTACTTCGCAACCAGCATCTACAAAAAGAGTAAAGACAAACAATTTGTGTCAATTGCTAAATATCCGTGTTCAGTTTCACAGGTGTATGGAAGTCAGCACGTTTTAAATACACACTGAGGAAGACGAAATGAACAGCACACACTGAACAACTAATTTCTTAGATGGCCAACTCATGACGATTTAGTGTTGTGTATGAAACAGACATCACACCACTTCTTTATGACCTCATAATCATAATAAAAGTGCTTTCATTAATGCAGACTCACTGCTCAATTCCACCAATATGGGATATTTATGCAGGCACTTTTATGTAAGCGCTTATATTGTGCTCAAGATCATAGTAGATAAAGCACTTCAAGCTAGATAAAGGGCCACTATTTCACCTACCCCCGGCCTATAACACGCAAAAAAGATATATAAAAACAAGGGAGAAGATTTCAAAAGCAAGAGCTCCTAATTTAGGAACCTAACTTCATACCTGAGCATCTGCCTGATTTTTATCAAAGTGCTGAGTATCTAAAAAGCTTCCACCTGCCCATAAGAGCTGTTCTGTCCCCAGCACTTCGCAGAAATGAAGCAAATGCCTAAATATAGATTTAGGAATATAATATCAGGCTCTTATTTTTGGAAATCTTAACCAAGAAACCAGCATGCGTATGTACATACGATTGTATCCCTCTCCCCGAACTACTGCATGCTGCTTATCTTCAGAGACCCAAATCCTGAAGAAGTTTGACTGTATTTATGTGAGTGGCCCAAGTGAATTCACGGAGTCACCACAGACATTAGTGTTAAGAGTAGCTCAGTCTCCAAGTCCATTTACCTCAGGGCTCTTGAAACTGGCAAGAGTGCCAACAGTGGCAATGATTTCTGTAATGTTTCCAATGAGCAGCTGTACAGGACAAACTTGTTACATATATGCCAGTTAAAAATCAACAGAGTATAACAAATTGCGGTTGATGGGCTATAACTAACAACCTAACAAACCTCTACTTTCAAATCTGAGAGGGACAGGAGATAGTCTATATTCACGTATGGGAGTCAGAACTTTTGAGATACGGCACACGAATCTATCATGGCAAAGCTGCTAGAGCACCTAATTCCACTTACCCCAGAGGGATTTCAGTGCCATACTCCGAGAAGCCAAGCGCCCCATCAACCTGGATACAAGAAGCTGTAAATCCAAGCCCCATGAAACGGCGACATCTGGCAAGCCATAAGCAGTGACGGAGAACTTGTAGCCCCACTCATTATTACTGGTGTCGGAGCGAAAGACGAACTGCAGCCGTGGGCCAGCCTTAAAGGTCACTTTCTACAGAGCAACAAAACAGTAATTTTGCCAAATGTACATGACAAGAAGTTTCAGGGTTATGGATTTCCTTCAGCAACTGTGTTTCAATATGCTCATGCTTTCTCAGGATAGGTTAAAGTTGCCCGCTAACCTGACTGAAAAGCCCACAGCAATTAAAGGTTGAAACTTTCTATTAAAAAACTGAATTGGAAGTTTCAGCTTGCAACTAAAACTTTTGAAGCTAAAAACATGTCATGCACAGAAAGTGCCATATTCTATGATAAAGATTCTGATCGGTTACAGAGAAATACTAAATGAAGTCGGTTTGCCATCTTAAGATTTAGCTAACATTACTGGGCGTAGGGGTTCAGTTGACCTGCAGCAAATGTGAATTTCTTTTTTGTCGGCTTGCTGTGGGTTAATTAGATGGTAGGAATTAGGAAGGGTCTCTTAAGCCATATATATATTGTACAGCATTTTAAAACTCACTCACCTTGGGCCACTTCTCAGTCCCAACCTTTGTGTCGTAACGAGTTTTTGCACCTCTGGCATCAGTAAATTCCAGATAATCATACCTGCGGAAATTGCAACTCATTACTTTCACATTTTAATTTTTAAACACTTGGAGGGAGTTTACTTTGAAAATGTCTCAATTCCTCCCTCACCTTCCCTCTATCAAGTCCCAAATGCAGTGCAGCAGCATTCTTTTTAGAGCCATATTTATTGTTTTAGAGGACTGCATAAACATTTCATGCTTTCATACAACATCTCCAGAACATATACAGACATTTCAGCAGCAGAGCTTCCTGATCCTCAGTACTGAGTTATGGATGCTAAACATTTCTCAGCTACATGCCCTATGGAAACAATACTCTGGCAAGTTACAACAGGAACAAACTTTGAAACAGCTATGTCCAAGTGGGGTAATGTCAAAGTGCAGTAGGCATGCAATGGGCGCTCACAGCAGAAATACAAGAGCAAGCGATGTCCATGGAAGCAGAGCCAGGACACTCAGGGCCCATGGATAGAATATGTCTGTACTCTTTACCTAGGACCTCACCTCTGTCAAGTCTCTTTAAGCAGTAAGGCAAAGAAGGGTACAGGATAGGGTAAGTAGGTTGAGGGAGAAGTTAAAACAAGACACTGGGGACATGATTTTCCCATTTGCAAATAGATTTTGGAATTCTAAGTGGTACAAGGTTAAGTTACCTCCTTTCTGTTTCACATTTTTCATCAAACTCCACCTCAAAGTAAGTTGCTCCATGACAAAGGAAGACTGAGACCACATGGCAATTATTTTCATAGTTGTGAGGAGATTCCATTGTCCATGTTCGCAGTGCCACAGGTTGTTCTTGCTGCCAGCTTTCCATTTCCATCTGCACAATCAAACACAAACATCACCTTTCAGTTTACAGGATACAAATGTAATGTACTATAAATATAAAGATTTCAGCACTAGATTATTTTACAATCGAGTCTCAGACATACTGTAAGCACTTATCCTTCGATTTAGCAGCAAACTCATTCAGCCCTGCAAGCCAGGTTCACAGATGCTAGGGTTGGAAGGGACTTCAGTGAGTCTAACCCGCTGCCCTGGGCAGGAAAGAGCACTGGGGTCAGATGACCCCAGCTAGGTGCTTGTCCAGTCTCCTCTTGAAGACCCCCAGGGTAGGGGAGAGCACCACCTCCCTTGGAAGCCCATTCCAGATTCTGGCAACTCTGACTGTGAAGAAGTTCTTTCTAATGTCCACCCTAAATCTGCTCTCCATCAATATGTGGCCATTGTTCCTAGTTACTCTGGGGGGCGCCCTAGTAAA